TCCAAGTATTTTCAGGCATAAATTACACATCTGGTTTGTGGCTCATGACTAACAGCACTCCTTCATTTAAGCTTTTTGCCTCTTATTACTTCAGGAAATGCTTCAGCAAGCTGCCTCAGTTTGCATCTAGTGCTAGCTACAAATCAGTACAATTTCATGACAAGACTAATGTGTGTGAAGCCATGGTACCAGAGTGTTTCTTTTTAATAAAAGTTGCAAAGTAATTTAAGTTTAGAGGCCCGTTCCCCCCTTTTATTTCACGGTGGCTAATGTATGTGATTTAGTGATTCCTTTTTCTAACTCCAATATTTTGTGTAGTTAATCTCTCTAATGTAGGTTGCTCTTTCTTTGGCCTACTTAAAATTACAATAGTACTTGAATCTGTAGAATGCTTTATAGATTTTAAAGCAAGGTTTCTTGGGTTGTTTCACTTCATTTTCAACTATGTCAGTCAGCTGAACTGTTGCACTGTCTCAATTTGGTTTCTACCTGCTCCCACCCAAAGCATTTAGGTAAGCCATGCCTTGGTTTCCTCATTCTTGGTGATCCATAAAATGTTGTCGCTATGAATAGTATCAGACACTATTAATATTGCCAAGTATTATTTTTTATTTCCAAATAAAGGAAATTCTACATAAATCACAGAGACAGAATTTCCTCTCCAAATATATACAAAAGGTAAGTTGACTAGTTCTTTTTATTCTTTTTTAGAGGGCACACAACTTCCTGTTCCAAAATGGAATCATCCTGAACTGGGTCTTGCTAGATTCACCACTTACAATTGAGTAAAAGTTAATCAAGAAGTCACTTAAACTCTCTGTACTTAAACTTTCTGATGGTAAACGTAGGAAAAAGGCATATCCATATAGGGTAAGGATTAAATGAGCACATATATAAAGTCTTATTACAATCCAGAGAACACAGCTGGTGTTTAACACAAGCCAGTTTCTCATCACTTCTGACCTCTGTGCTTTAACCTAGACATGTCAAATGGTTTCATATATTTTCAAATGTTTTTGAAAATATCTTCAACCACACAGCCCAAACTCAGATTTGAAAGCTATAAACAACAAAGCAGATCCACAGAGGAGTTACCCATCAAATTTAAGGCTGGTCAACATTCTGCTTATTTCAAGAATGGTAGAGTCAAGGCAAAGAAAAGCAATAAGTCAGCCAAGAATTCAAGAGATTGTCATTTTTAAACTTTCTGCTCCTAAAGGCCAGTGAGTCATAAGGACCAGTGTCAACTGGCTAGTCTATGAACCACCCATACAACTAGACAAGTGATCAAGCTACATTTTAAGATTCTAGGGTGGAATAAATATCCTGTAAGTCCTGATCTAGCAGGAGGAATTTTTCTTAATTTGACAAGCATTTCCATTACAATACTTTGGAAGAATTTGTGCATGACCTCATCTCTACTACTAAAATAGGAGCAAGTTTGAGAGCTCCCAATGCGTTTGGAATGTCCATACCCTCCAAGAGTGTCCATACCTGTCCAAGTGTGTGGTATTGTTGAGGAACATATCAGTTTTAGTATAATAATATGGAGGAAAGTAGATACTTACTTTCCAATGATTTCCCCAGGATCCGTGAACATAGACACAACCCAGGATGACATCCAAACATCAAAGCAATGGTAAAACAGAATTACTGGGTCATCTAAGCACGAACAGTCTCCCTCTCCTTCCTAGTCTTGACTCAAGAACACATACAGGTTCCCATTAGGAATCCTAAGGGTAAAAGGCCTGGCTCTGCATTCGATGAGATGGTGCCATCTGTGTGTCTGCCTGAAAGAACCATGTTCTATTAAGACAGGCTATGAAAACGTCTCACAGTGTTGAGACTGAAAACATCTAACAATATTGAGGCTGTTTAAAGTAGGTAGGCAACAAAATACACTGCACCTCATGTCAGAGCCCTTGTTCACCAAAGATGGCATTTGCCTTAAAGACACAAGATCATTAACTTAACAGAATTTAAAAGTATAAAGGGAAAATAAACCAAGGCTTCTCTATCTCATAATAGTGCCAGATGGGAAGTAGAGACTGGATTTCAAGGATGACTCCTGTCAGGACATCTCATTTTCCTAACCCCTGCAATGACAAGGTAGAAAACACACCTGCCGGTTGCTGGTTTTCACAAAAGGAAAAGATAAGCACTCTCTTTTGGCCACTCCTCCATTTTCTGGGACATAATGGACACCACAGTTTCTTGTCCCCATCTTTCTTCTGCACTCCTGTGCTGATCTCATTCTAATATTTCCTTCCTAATTCCTCCCCAGGGCTCATTACTCTTCACACATCTCCATTTTGCATGTACTCCCCTTTGCATGGACTCTGGCCTCGCCTCATTCCTCCTTTCAGCACCTTCCTCTCCTCCGGACAAAGCTTCCTTTCTATCTCTCACTAGATTTGTTTCTCTTGTTAACACACTTCCTTCCATTCAATTTCTCCCCTTGCCTTCAGATCTTACTTCCTCTCTCCCAAGAAACACTCGCTGCAAGATCACGTCTGTATTCACTGCCTCTCATTATTTTACTACATTCCATTTACTCTTCAGCCCTGTCAAGTTAGCTTTCCACATTGACCACCACAATCAACAAATAAAATGACTCGCCCTGAGGTCACTAATCATCTTTTGACTGCCAAATCCAACAGTCACTTTCCAGTTCTGACCTTTTCTGACCTCCTTGACTCAAGTGACTGGCAAAGCCCTCCAGCATAAAGCTCTTTGTACCATTGATTTCTATTAAATGATTCTTCACAAGTTCTCTACTGACCCCACTGGTCATTCCTTCCTTCCTCTAGTTTCCTGTTTTGGCCTCTGCTTTCACCACCTACTTTATCCTCTAAAGGCTGCTACTTACAAGAATTCTCCTTGTCCTTCTCACAGCTACCAACATGATAGGGAATTCCCTTTTTTGACCATGAACTCCAGATCCATCTATCAATACCTTCTAGATATCTCTACCTTGCTACTCCACTGGCATCTCCATCCCTATTTGCACAAAATAATTTTTTCCCTAAAAGCATCAACACTGTTGCCTCATGAATACCGAGTTACTCATACGACCATTCATACTACCACCCACATCCATGCTACCCTCTGTATTACCATCATCTCAAGTAAGAAAGCAGGGAATACTTCACTCCTAATTTGCATTCCAGGATCCATGCAGAACCCCATCCCATCATTCTAACTTCCTGTTCTACCTTACATCTTGCCTGCCAACTCCAACAGAATCTTTCTCTGTCTCTAGTTTCCCTTCACCCTAGTTTCCATGATCTCTGCATCAAAAATCTTTCTCCTCCACGTGCTACGACTTCAAAGCTTATAGTATCCTTCTGTTTAGATGTCAAATTCTGCCCATAACTATTGTAAGGACAAAGTCTTCACCAATCTTTTACCAGTTTTGCTCTCTAGAAATGACCATGTACTCAAGCCCTACTCATCCTGATAATTTCTGTCACTGGATAAGAAAATCCTTGAAGACAAGGATTTACTTCCTTTTCTACCCTTGCCTAAAATGAAACTGGCGCATAATGTGACTTTAATAAACATTTGTTCAACTTTATCGCATCTCCAAATACACATATTCAACAACAGTACACAAATTAAATCAGCTGGCTAATGAAAACCATCTTAGGGATTATGCTATTACTGACAAATTGAGAACTGGTAGTTTCAGCTTCCTCAGTCTCTTCATCAGGCTTCGAAAACTTAAAAGGCAACTTGGAGTCTCCTTGTAGAGCTGCTTATGCATTCCAACAAGGCAGCAGCTAGAATCTAATCTCCCCAAACACCAATACAAAGGTCCCTCCTCACCCCAAAGTAGTGCTTGGGGTGAAGCCCCTGTCGCCTTCATTAAGAACTTCCCCTTTCCAGAAGTCACTGTTCCCTAAATGTTGGCTTTTCTGAACTCACAACTCCGGAAAATGTTTTTACTGCTGTTTTTTATCTCTTAGACTGTTTTGTTTTGTTACAGAAAACGACCCTGCTACTAAATTTCAGTCAAAACCAACCTGCTTCCTGCAATTCTACAAGCTTCACCCCCCCCAAACCCTACCACAAATAGAAAGTTCAGAAGCAGTCCTGTGAAATCAATACTGCAGCTGGAACAGTATGATCGTTATAGGCTACACACTCGCCACAAAACAACCAGAAAATCAACCTAGCTAAACGATTCCCGCTGGTTGAGGCAATCTTCTAACCCATGATTATTAACTACATCCAGAAAAAAAATGATTGGCTTTTCTCTGTTTCCTAGAACAGTGATTTTCAAAGAACGCTCAAACCACCGAACAGCAGCTAAAATGGAAAAGAAAAGCAGTTGTCCTGCAATGGATGGTCCTGATTGGGAAGGGAGATCGACAGAGTAATTGACATGCTGATGAAGTCTTCAGGGGCTGCCTTGCTGATAATCAAAGTGGAGACTTTACTGCTTGCTGTAGGAAACACTGCACTGTGAAAGGCTCCTTGGAGAGAGGAAACATTACAGGTCCTTCCAAATCTGACTATGCTCCCCAAAGAAAGTGCCATTTTTCTCTGAAGACTTCCTTAGAATCTTGCAACTGCCCCCAAAATAGTGTATGTATATGTTTCATTTGTCAAATGAGTTCTCCTGAAAGTGATTTGGGTGCTTTAAAAATAGATTAAATGATGATGAGTGCATTCAGAAATGTAACCAGCAACCATTTTCCAGAAAGGTAAATTACATGCATATTCAGCTACCTTGTAGGGCTCCCCAAAAAGATCAAAGCCTGAAGAAAAGAGGTCGTCTTCTTGTTGGACTTCTTGACTCCTCCTCTCCCATTCCCTTTTCTTAAGAGCAGTGCGATCTTGTTCATAGTGACTGAAAGGAAAAGGGAAACACAAAATGAGAAATATATTGGTTACGTAAATCATCCATATCCCCTGTTACCATTAAAATATATACAAGTCACTGTTATCCAAATAGGTTATCCAAATAAGGAACAGATTCCTTTCCTTTTTATTTTCAGAGGCAATCACGAACTCAGTCCCCCATTACCACAAATTCTGAGGTCTAGTTTCCTATATTTGGGGAAATCCCAGGGGTTAGCACATCCAGAGTGCAACGGATAAGGCTCACCGTGGGAAAACCACCTTCACGGGCTTGGTATCACACTTGCCAGGTAAGTATGGGAGCAGATTCCTTTCTTTACTCCCACTGGGTTTAAGGTCCTGGCCAGTTCAACAATAGCACTGTAGCACTGTTCTCCCATTGTTCATCAATTTGCTCAATTGAGCACCAGTATCGTCTCCATTGTGAGACTTATTGTTACTGTTTTTGGCATATCGAATATGCCATGGGGAGCTTGTCAGGCTCTGCTGTGCGGGCGGGATACTCTCAGTAAGTAGCTTGTGGGGCTCCCCAAGAGGGATAGAGGAATTGAACCCCGGTCGGCCACATGCAAGGCAAACACCCTACTCGCTGTGCTATCACTACAGCCCAGTTTAACAATATGCAGAAGAAAACAAAAACTGGCTTATTAGAAGATGGACTCAGCGACACTCAGGAATGGCAAAATCTTCTTCCGCTGACCTTGCTTGATTGACACAGCCAGTTACAGATGGCCCAGATATCAATCCACTCTGCTGGAAGGTACAGAATTCAAGTTGTATTGTGTTGTCTACTGCTAGGGAAGAGAATTCACACATCTCATACAGTCCTAAGGAAATGGAACTATCCAAGTATTTCCATAGCAGATAAAGTGAAAATCTGCCCTGATCCCAGGGCCAATTAGTCTGCCTTAATGACATCACCAGAAAGTTACAAATAAATAAAATGACTCAGCCATTCACACTCCTTGTTGTTGTTGTTACTGTTGCTGCTTTAGTTCTCCCTTATAGTCTGCACCATGGATGACTAAAGTCTTTTGAGGAAACTTCACAAACCAAGGGGTGTGGCTTGCGCAACAAACTACCAACCATGAGAGGAGGTAGCAAAAGTTTTGAATGACCTTTCAGATAAATGTTTTCTAAACCCTAAGTAACTCGGTGACCCTCCTGGCATTTTAGGCTTTCCTATTGGAGCATCAGTACAAAAGATTCAAGATAATATCTAAGGAGTACTTATTGGGTGCAGGAGAGGGGGCTGGAATTTACTGACTGGAATGTACCTTTATTTTAAAAAATAACAGGCTCTTTGTCATGCAAGATGGCACATATCAGACTCTCATCTGTACATTTCACAGTAGTGGATAGTATTTTGTTCAACTGAGATGTTTTCACTGCTTTTGATTATTATCTTAGGCAAAATGAATGCATCTATGCTGGGCAGACTGGAATTATATAAATTGTATGTAAAATGCCTAGCAGGTGCAGTATAAATGTTGCTTTCCTTCCTCATGTTAATACCGCCATGTTAAGACTTAATTAGATAATTGACATGCAAATGAACATAATAGCTAAAAGAATTACAGGAGATATACTGATAGAGGAGTGCGCTTGACAAGTTTTGAATACACCCCAAGTCTTAATACCTATCATTGGCAGCCTACTTTGCTCATGAGTATCATAACTTTAATTTACAAAATAAGAGCTCAGAGCAGGCAATATCCCTTGCATCATAACTAGATGTGGATATACAGGGGGTGACACACCACTACACTTAAGCAGCCACCTTTTTCCACTTTGACAAACTTAATGTGACTTTGATAGCCTTATCTTCTGGATCAAGAACACTTCATGTCTCCATTCCAAAATAGTAGCCCTGTGTAGAAGATGGGTCCATATATGTTATGCTTTCGGTATGCAAACAATAGCAGACACAAGAACTCCCTGAGCCACTCACAAGTTGATAGCATTCAGCAAATGTTATCACCATCTGGGAGAAAGAATCTTCGGAATCCCTGCTTTAACCCAGTTTTCACATCTGGGTCCAGCCTTGTCAAGAGACAAGTCCCGGTATGAGAAACCAAGCACATCATTCCCAGTGACCGATGTCATTCGTGGGTGTCACGTTAGCAAGGCATCCACTCAATCCCACTTCCAAAGGAAGACCTGAAGCCCAGGCAGTTGCCATCTTGCACAATATCTTTGTGCTCGAGGTAGATGTGGAAGTGCTCAGGAGCCATAACGTCCTCAGTGACTGAGTGACTACTCAGTCCACAACGTGTGGAGCACAGGATTCCACTCAGCTCTGTCGCGGGCTGAGTGTAATGCAGCTCATCATTAGTCAAAAGGTAAGAAAGGGTGTGAGGAGGTGGGGTGGAGTCGCAACTTAAAGTAGCTTTTGATGGGGTGAGAGGGGTTCTCTTTATTAAAAAAAAAAGAGGGGCATTTCCTTTCTCTACATTCCATAGTGGAGAATACTCCAGAACAGACAAGAGTAAAAGTGTCACCTTTCTGAAGATTGCAAGCCAGATGTCAGATTTCCAGCACGCTGTCTAAACCCTGCATCTGACGGCCCACAATGACAGGCCCTTAGATCACATTTAATGCTCTCGCGAATAGAACTGAGGGACTTTGGTCTCCTGGCTTTGAAAACCACCTTCGTTCTCCTGGGGGGAAAAATAATTAAAATCCTAACAGGAAAAAAGGAGGAAAAGAAAAGGAAGCGGCTTGAACTTGCAAGGGAACCCTTCAAATAAATGGCCATGGGGCTTTTGACCTGGGTTTGACTGGTTAGGAAGCTCTGATGTCAGTTCATTAGCCACCCAAATGCCAGGTGAAAATTTGAATAGCAGATTGAGCATACACAGGGGTGTGATATGTTGCAAGAAAACTGCCTGCTGCGTTTTTTTTTAACACATATCACAAAGAACAGTTAATTCTCATATCTCCGGCGAGAATGAATTTAATCTCCATAGAGTTCCACTGCTCTTGGAACACAACCAAAGATCTCCAACTCTTTCCTTTTCTGCCCAGCATGGTCGTGTTTTGAAAACTTCACACGGAGAGGTATAATGAGGAACGAACTACATGGTGATGAGGCTTTCACATTGTACAACGTCACTGATTTCTGACTGAAACCAAAATTACTAATTTGAAGCACCAGCTAATTAAAACCACAGCTATGTATTTAGCCTCTTGTTATACCTACTGCAGTTTATAATTATGAGGACCTCTTTATCTACTCAATTAAAGTTCTTCTGACTCAGGCAGGTTTGTGTTGGAGCCTGTGATGCTGCCTACGTCTGAGCGCGTGTCTGTCCCTGATGATCTGACGCACTTTTAGAGTCCCAGCTCACTTTCCAAAGTGAAGGGGTGGGGGCGTGTGGGGTGCTCCAGAACCCGCCAGGAAATTCTTAAGCCAGAAATATGAATTAATCATCCATATTATTGGTCTGAAAATTCAAATTTATTCACACTGATGAGGACACGGTGAATTGGTCCTGTTAGCAGGAAAACGCACTTTCACATTCAACTCAAGGACTCTTCAACTCATAGTAAGTGAAGATGTCTTTCCAACTTTTTTCCCCACAGATATAATGAAACTTGTCACATTATATCACATAAAATCCACTAAACACTCAAAATTAAATTGACTCCTAATTGGCCCAAGGTCTTTGGCTTCTCTCTCTGCCGCATATATATATATATATATATATATATATATTGAAAGAGAGGTACATAATTGGGGAAAGAGCCAGTTCCATTGTATTCCCTCTACTCTCCTCAATGCAAGGTGTGAGAGCAAGAAACTCCTCTCTAAAAATGGGACTGTGGAATACCACTCCTGGAAATATATCCCAGAAAGGCAAAAAAGTATAGACGAAGTGACATCTGCACTTGAGTGTTCATTGCAGCACTGTTTACAATAACCAGAATCTCGAGAAAACCTGAGTGCCCAAGAACAGATGACTGGTTAAAGAAACTTTGGTACATCTACACAACAGAGTACTATGTAGCTGTTAGAAGAGATGAAGTCATGAAATTTATATACAAGTGGCACTACATGGAAAGTATCATGCTAAGCGAAATGAGTCAAAAAGAGAGGGACAGGCATAGAAAGATTGCATTCATCTGGGGAACATAATGTAACAAAATAGGAGACTAACACCCAAGAATAGCCTAGATAAGTACCAGGAGGTTCACTCCACGGCTTGGAGGCCAGCCGCACATGCTAGGGGAAAAGGCAGCTCAGATAGAGAAGGGAGCACCAAATAAGGGGTGTTGGGAGGATCCTCCCAGGATGGAAGATGCATGCTGAAATTAGACTATAGACCGAACATGATTTCCACTCAATGCCTCTTTTGCAAACCACAGCACCGAAAAGGAGAAAGAGAACAAAAGGGAATGCCCTGCCACAGAGGTGGGGTGGGATGGGGGTGGGATTGGAGGGATACTGGGATCATTGGTGGTGGAAAATGGGCACTGGTGGAGGGATGGGTACTCGAACATTGTATAATTGAAACCTAAGCACAAAAACCTGTAAGTCTACAACTGTACCTCATGGTGTTTCACTAATAAAAATTTAAAAATAAAAAATAAAATGAGACTTTTTACTTTTTGTTCTGCTCTCCCCCATCACTCTGTTTCCCTCTTAGTCTGCAAAAGAAACTCTCCTTGTGAAGGAGGAGACTAATGCCCCCTTGGGATGAGGTGAAATTGGCCTGGTTCTGAACAATGTCGGGAAAAGGATGGTGTAACCTTTTCTCTTCCATCTTCAAGCTCAGCACTTTCATCTCTCCATCTTCTCCCAGATCCTCTCCTATTCTTCTTCTGAAGCCTGTTCTCTTGTATGGGAATTTTTTTAAAAAAAATTATTGAATCACCGTGAGATAGTTATAAGCTTTCATATTTGGATTACAATTACATAATGATCAAACACCCGTCCCTCCACCAGTGCACATTCCCCACCATCAATATCCCCAGTATAACCCCCCTTTCCCACCCTCTCTCTGCCTCCATGGCAGATGTGAGTCCCCATAATCTCTCTCTACTTTTGGGCGTTATGGTTTGCAATACAGACACCAGGAGGTCATATGTTTTGTCCTTTATCTACTTTCTGCACACATCTCCCATCCCGACCGATTCCTCCAGCCATCTTTTTCTTAGTGATCCCTTTTCTATTCCAGCTGCCTTCTCCCCTTTGCTCACATGTCTGGGAACTTTTATTTTCAGAATTAGAAACCACAGGTACATGGATGAGTCAATAAAACCTAGGTCACATGGAGACACACAAGCTCAAGAAAG